GCATCACTGTGGGTGGAGCACCTCTGGTGATGGAGCATCACTGTGGGTGGAGCACCTCTGGGGGTGGAGCATCACTGTGGGTGGAGCACCTCTGGGGGTGGAGTATCACTGTGGGTGGAGCACCTCTGGGGGTGGAGCATCACTGTGGGTGGAGCATCTCTGGGGATGGAGCACCTCTGGGGATGGAGCACCTCTGGGGATACAGCACCTCTGGAGTTGGAGCCCCTCTGGGGGTGGAGCACCATGCACAGACCTTCACATGTTTCCTTTTGTCTGCAGGCGGTGCAGCTTTTATTTTCCCGAATACTTCAGTCTATCCTGAAGCTACGCAAAGAATTACAACTAGGCCAGGTAGGAAAACCGCCTGTGTGATCTGTTCACTGAGGGACGCCCCCCAAGGTGGTCCTGCTGAGCTCCGGGACCCCCGCCACCTGCTCCAGGGAGGGCCTGTGGGGGTCTGCAGCGGGTCCCATGTAGTCAGACTCTGCCTCTGTGAATTTTGGACCTTGATCCCACAAGCCGGCCCTTCACCAAGCACCAAAACCGGGGAGTTCCAAGCAGTCAGCTCTCGGCTCACTGCTCAGCACCCGGCTCTGGGATTAGCCCCTGGATGAGGGTGTCCTCGGATGGGGATCCCTCCGCTGAGTGCGGGGCTCGGCTGGCCGCATGGACCTCCTCGGGGAAGGTCACGCACTGGGGGAGCCCCGCACCCTTGGGACACTCCCACTTGTCCTGGCACCAGCGCTCCGCAGACCCTGGTAGGGGTTTAGCTGCGTCCAGATTTTCCGGGTGACAACTCGGTAATGCATTTCCTCGGCGCTCACACACGCACAGTAACCACCCACCAAGTGCCGTGGGCGCCGGTGCCGGACTCTGGGGATCCAAAGACGAGCCAGATTCCAGGAAGCTGAGTCTGTTCCGGGCACAGACGGTGTCAGGCACAGGCCGGGCAGGGCAGGGCGCAGGCTGTCTGGCTCGCACATCAGTAGCTGGGCGTTCTGGCTGCTTTGGCAGATGCCACGCGGCACCACGTTTTGACTCCCATGGCCGTCGGGGTCAGCAGCGGGGCCCAGCCAGTGGGACACGCTCACGGATGTCAACCAGCCGTGCAATGTGCCGGCCAAGGCGCCCCCGACAGTGACGCCTGCCGAGCGCCGGGGAGGTGTCACCGCCCCGTGGAAGCTCCCCGGGGGAGGCCGTGTATCAGGGGAGGTTGGGGTTGGCCAGTGGAAGAGGGGGCACGTTTCAGGCCTGGGCAGGCTCCGCAGGTGCTGACCCTACAGCAGTCCTGGCCAGGGCCTCGGAAACGTGACTCAGGGAGCCAGCTGCTTGCCCCGTTTTCACTGATCGTCTGGATGGCGTCTTCCTGCACTGGCTGCCCGACTGCTCACCCACGCCCTAGCTGCACAGCACTGGCTGGGCTGGCAGGGCCCTGGGGGCAAGGCCGAGGGCTGGCGTTGTCTCCCCCACCCCCCAGGTGTTTCTCAGGTAGTTTCTGTTATTCCTGCGGAAATCTCTTTCCCCACCTCTCCTCTGAACGCCCTCCCCCTCTGCCAAGCACACATTTTTGGAGCTCTGGTCTCTTGAAATCTCCAGTGGCGTCAGTAGGAACAGGCTGAGTCCCAGAAACTTTCAGGGCAGTGTTGGGCCCTCTGACGAGCAGGTAAGGAGCAGGTGCCATGGAGGACTTCCTTGGCCCCCACCCCCATCACGTGGCAGCCCAGTAGCACGGGGCATCTGTTGCCAAGAGACAGGAGAGTTTCTGTTATTCCTGTGGAGCTGCTATTCCTTAACCGGGCCCCTCAGACTTCAAATTCCTCCTCTGCGGAGTTTGTAACTGAGCCACACAGCAGCCAGTCCCAGGGGAGCAGAGCCACGCTTTCTCCTCTGTCGGATGCGAAGTGAAGCCTCTTAGACCAAACGGTCTGGGTGCATTCTTTGCTTTTCCCCTCGCTATAGCATAACCACAGAGATCTGTAAACTTAGATGAGAGGGAAGGAAAAATGCCTCCCAGAGCTCAGTGTTTTGATACAGGATTTCAGAAGAACATAGTAAGATCTAGAGGAAAACAAGAAAGTGACATAATTATGTTACGGTTGACTCTGAAAATTCCTTCCATTAAACAAGGTTCATAGTTTGGTTCTGGGCAGTTGCTTTTGGTCTTTCTGTCTTTGCCATCAGCATCTAATTTCACTGGGAACAGGCCAGGCTCATCCCTTTCCCATCCAGTGCAGCCAGGGACCTCCAGAGTGGCTTGTGCTTGTGGCAGGGATCCTGCAGAATGACTCTCCGTGGTCCAAGTGCTAGCGCTTTAGAGACAAAACAGGCTGGTAGAGGCAGAGAGGTTAGAGAGCTGCTCTTCAGTGGGCCTGGTGGAAGGAGAGCAGGAGGCTGGTGAACTTAACCCTGTGCGCTGGGCTGTTAACCCAACTCTCTGTTGTCTGTGGAAGGCAGGGCTGGGGGAGAGTCACCTTCAGAGGTAGAAGCTATCACCCAGCAAGTTTACAAAAATGCAGGTGCAGAAGGACCAATACCAGTCAAACTCCTGACTTGCAGTCTCATGGCTTGGGATCTAAGCCATGGCATATCACAGATTTCCATGGTACCCCCACGCCGCCCATGAAGCGGCCTTTATAAAGTTCACTTATTAAACACAGACTGTCAGAGAAAAAACAGCAGAATCAAAGCCAAAAGCAGCCTCCAACCTGGGCCCTTCTGCCAGAGCTGTGAGTTAATTACCTTGAAGAACAAATTTGAAGGGAAATGAAGAGTGTATTGAAATGACTGCCAAAAATTAAATGTAAAATATGTTCTAATTAGGAGTCATAGGATCTACCATCACTAAAAAACAACTAACAAATATACATGAAGTCATAATTTTTTCAAGCCATCAGAGTATATGTAACTCCTCAAGAGCATACTGCTTTGAGGTGATGTAGTTGCTGAAAGGCCCTGGCTGGTCATCTCCTGTCTTAGCAACATTTTCCAGTGTCACATCCTAAGGGAGTGGGTGTGGAGTCCACCCCTGGGATCATCAAAAGCAGCCACCCCTGGGATGAGAACCACTGAACCCAAACTTTATGAAAGAAAACATAGGCCTGCTCCTCTCCCACGTCAGTACCTCTAGGACCATGTTAACTATGTTCTGGCATAGTTCTTGGCCACCAATCGGACCTGGTGTTTATGTCATAACTTATTTTTAAGAGAAGATGGGACATTGTTTTGCACTCTAAGAAGGGTTTTATGAAAAAGAGTAACAAAATATTTTTCATTTAGTAGTTTGATGTTTAATATTTTCCAGTCACCCTTCATGAGCAATACTTGTATATGTCAAGTGGTTGGGGCTAGCCTACTGATATTTGCCATTAATTCCAATAGAGTTTTTATACTTCAGGTAAAGCATTCAAACTAGAGGTCTTGCCACACATTTTATTTGTATTGGTGTAGTCCAGGGAGCACTTCTGAAACCCGTAGAAACACAGAATTCTAGAAAAGAACAATGGGAATTAACTAGAACAGGCTTTCTCTAGCTTCAAGGTACACCCAAATCACCTGGGATCTTCTTTAAAATTAGATTCTGATGAGTATCTCTAACGTGAGATTCTGCATTTCTGACAAGCTCCCTATTCTTGCCAGTATTGCTGGTCTGAAGACCACACTTTGAGAAATAAGAATCTAGAGTGTGTTTATGTATCATCTTGCTTTTTCATTTGGTAAACAGAAGCCTCTTGCTGATATACCAGTCTGCTCTTAAATTAGGCTAGAGCCTGTTGTGATTGCCTTATGAGTAAATTTTCCTTTTGAGATGATTCTCCAGTTAAAATTCTGGCTAACCATTTTTTTTTTTTTAAATGCAACTGGATGAGAATCCCTGTCTGAAGTCCTCCCAAACATAAGCTGAAGTTTAGTTGAAAATGGATAGCACTTGCAGATTTAATTCTCCCGTGTAACCACAACACCAGAAAAGTGAGACTCTAAGGAGCTGTGTGGGAAGGACAAACAGTTCCAAAATGCAAAGATGCCAGCGAGAGGGAGTGGTGGGCAATAGCAGTTGAAGAGAAACATCATTAACTCAACCAAAGCTCTGGAGGATAGAATTTCACAGACCACACTAGCTGCAGTGCTTGTCGCCAAACAGACCACATAAGTTAGCGCGATTCTGTATTGAATTTCGCATTGCATTTCATTGCTATTCTCCTTGGGATATGAAAATAGGAAGAGACACATTTTTTGCAATAGAGTCGAGCTCTTTGAAGAGTGATCCACCAAATTGCCAATTCCAAACAAAGTTAGATGATCTGTTTAAAGAAAGGTTTTACACAAATTGCAGTGCCCTGCCCTCCAAGTGAGATCTTAGAACCGTTCCAGGTGCCTGGCAGCAGTTACCTGATGAGGTGTCTGTAGCTGGCCTATAAGGACACCTGGCATTGAGCTGAGACCTAAATATCCAAGAAGACATAGTTTTGAAATGATCCTGTAATAGGATTGAATAATGTTTTTGAAAAGAACTTGAAATAACTTAGAGTCTTCATACTTATTAACGGGACATACACTGAGGATGTGGAAGTATAGTGATTGAATTTACGTTTGCAAAGTGTGATGAAGGTTTATGGGATAAATGATAGTAAACTAAGTACAGTGACATATTCTTAAACTCTTAAAGGTTATTGTTGCCATGTGAGGAAAGTGCTCTTCAGTCTTGCAGTTGATTTCATAGAATTGTAGAGAAATTGCAAATTCATTTAGAGATAGAAAAAGTAGACATTTGTGTAGAAAAATATACAGTTAAGATTGACTTGTTATAAAAGGATGAGATTCCCAAGGGGAACTCGGGCTGGCTGAGAGAGGCAGCTGGCAAATCAAAGGCCAAGGAGGCAGAGCTGGCTTCCCGGGGTGGGGGGGGGGGGGGGGGGGGAAGAGCACAAATATCGTCGGGTGGTTTAAGGGACCGATTTCAAGCAGGAATTAGTTGAATCATCAGAGTTGTGGGCTCTGTTTTGGATGGATCAAGAAGATAATAAAGGGCTGGGTTTAGGTAGCCCTGTTAAAAGCAGGACACACTCAATGGCAAGAAACTTTTAAAATGGTCTTAACAGATGACTGTAGAAAATTATTTCAGAAGATCCAGGCAACTCTGTAAGAATCTCAGTGGGAGTGTTCCAATGAACGTGTGAAGAAAATTTTAGATCAAAAATACATACAAAAGTATAATCTGTAAATAATAGCCAAATGCAGTTGAATCCAAGTTGAACATTTCTTTGTATTACTGGATATTTTTGCACACCATTTAGTCTGATGAACAAAACCCCCAAACACAAAGTATCTATTTGTGTTTTTATACATGATCTTTTAGTGATTTTCATTGTGCTTGTAGATCTACCTTATGAACCACCTCGGAGATCAGCCTGGACGGGCCACCCGACCCCCCCATCGAAAGGTAGGGTATTGGCCCCCACCCCTGGCACCTGAATACCACAGGGCAGTGGATAACTCGATGTGACAATAATTTCTGTAGTTCACCTATGTTTCTTTAACATGTAAAATGTTTGCCCCATTGTGGACAAAGCCCAAGTGATCTTTATTTTGCTGTGATTCTTTCTCTATGGGGTTTATACCTACTTCTATAGTAGAAAGAAAGAAATGATGTAATATACCTCAGCATGGACTCATCCATGCCTTCTGGAATGTTTGAGTGTGGATTGAATAGTGGGTGATTACCCAATCTTTGCCATGTCTACAAGTATCCTCTGCTTTCTTTTTATTTTCCTGGCAGCTTCCCTTTATCTAGTTACTGTAGATGGAGTCATTTAAAATTGTTTGGTAAGGAATCTCAAATTCTTTTTTTCCCATTTTTGAAAAAAGCAAAATACAAATAAACTTTTAAAATAATGTAGAGGACCCACTCTCTTTTTTCGTATTTGGTCTCCTTGGCAAGAAAAAAAAATTAATCATCAAGTATTTCTTATTCAAAGAGCAAGACTACTATGTTAATAACTAAAATAGTTGATGAAACGATTATACAACAGCATCAAGAACTAATGGCCAAATAAAAATCACAGCTGATTTTCTTTTGTACTTCTGTATTTTCAGCTGCTCAACCATCTCCTTCCACAGTGCCCAAGACTGAAGACCAGCGTCCTCAGTTAGGTATGTCCCAAGGGTCTTTCTGCGTCCCTAAGAAGCAGGTGCTATGGAGTGTTTCTGAACGTGTCACTTTCTCAATGAAATTAACTCCACTTTGTCTTTTTTATGACTGCTTTATATAGAGAACACACACCAGGTTACCTGTCTACTCCCGATGACTGCAGGCTTTGCTAAAACATTCCCCAAACCTGCGCATTAATATGAGCACTACACCAGTGGGCTCGGCGCTAGCTGTTTCTCTGTGCTTTGCAAGCTCTTTTTACTTCTCCTCTCAGGGTGCTGCCACACCAGCACGGGCAGAGTCCAGTGTGGGAAGGCGGTGGGTTTGATGCTGCCCCTGCTGCGGGCTGTGTGGCCCCGCGTGGCCCAGGGGACTTAACACACTTTGCCCTTTTTGTGCCGGGACACTTGGCCAGCAGTCCTGAGCTCGGCTGCCAAGAGGAGGCCTTGAGCAGCAGAGTCTCTTAGCTGCCAGGGAGCTGTCTGCCTCTTGGGAGCTGGGGGCAGGGCTCTGGGGGCAGGGCTCTGGCGTTGGGAGGCTCAGTGGTTCACCTCGGCACCGCCATCACCCCAGAGTTGACTCCTGTTCTTTCTGTTGTAGATCCTTACCAGATTCTTGGACCAACCAGTAGCCGCCTTGCAAATCCAGGTGAGATATTTCTGCTGTTGATGATTTTGCTCATAAAACGTTAATTCCAGGTCGTGGTGACTCTTGTTTTCTTGTTCTACCAGCTTTTCGATATATCATCCCACAGCCGGGCCTAACCAAGAACAGGGCTGGCCTTTTCCCACCACCATGCCTATGTCCCCTTGACCCCACCTCCCTTCCCCTCGCTACCTCAGAAACTTCATGTGTGGTGTCTCCTGGCTTTGCCACATCCTTCACCATGTGAAATGCGCAGTGTGTGTCTTTGTCCTTCTGACTTGCTTGACTGTGTAGTCCCTCCAGCTCCTTCCCTGATGCCATAAATGGGACATTTTGAATAGCACCCACAGCCTGGACGGGCCATGCCTTCTCCACCTGTCCTCCATGAAACCCTGAGCCAATTTTCATTTGCCCACGTGGAAAAAGAATGGGTGGGTTTAAATGAAGACGTTAGCTTCAGCGAAGAGCACACGCACCAAACCCAAGCTGAACCAGTCTTCCCACAATGCTAAAGCAGAGTGGGTGGAGACTCTTCTTGGCTCACAGCTCTGGGGTATTCCAGAATCAAGGCGTCAGGTGCCAACGGGACAGCTCCTCCTGAGCACCTCGAGGGCCACTCTGTCCCAGGAGTGGCTCCCTCCTTGGAGTTGGGGCTGTCTTCTGGCGGGTCTCTTCACCTCGCCTTCCTCCTGTTTGTCTGTGTCCAGGATTTTCCTTTTTATCGGGCCAGCATCCTGTTGGACTGAGCCCCACCCTGACAACCTCCGTGTAACGCAGTGACCTCTGCGGAGACCCTGTTTCCAAATAAGGTCGCATTGGAGGTATTGGGGTGACGTTAGAACTCCAGTGCAGAAACTTGGCAGGGGCTGGCGGGATGCCACCCATCCCACCCCACAGCAGGCAGCGTCATGTTCCAGAGGGCAGGGAGGAGAGCCGTGGTCACGAGGAGTGTAGGCCCCTCGTCTGCGAGCGGCCAGGCCCTGGCTCTGACGCCACAGGCTGTACCACCGCCCCCGACCCGCTGGGAGCCGGTACCTTGCAGGGGTTGTCGCCTGGCATCGCTTTGCAGCGCCGACCAGATTGTGTTTTCTGTTTGCGTTCAGAGCAGAAACAGCTGTGCTGGCACCGGCTGCAGAAGCCCTCAGCACACGCTGCACACTCTTGGCAGCGAGCTCAGTGCCAGGATGTCCCGGGCTCAGCGCGAGGCCAAGCGGGAATGGAGACGCCTGGGCTCTGAGGCCCGGCGGGGCTGGGCGCGGAAAAACCAGGCTCCAGCCAGTGTCTCCCAGGGCAGTCTGCACCGTGAGCCGCGGAGTGTCATCACTACTGAGCCTCAGCATCTGCGACGTTCCGTTGTGATGTTTTTAAAATTTCATTATTTATTCTATACTTTCTATGGCGGTGGCATTGATTTGCAGCCGTTAGGTGATTTGGAGGTGTAAGATCCCCCTTCAGGTGCTGTTAGCACACCGCAACCTCCGCCACACACCCACCGTCCTTTATTACCACAGACGGCAACCGCCAGAGTGGGAGGGGGACGAGAGCACATGCAGCGAAGACCTTCGACGAGGCACGCGGCGACCAGGCCACGCTGGCCACGCTGCTCTGTACTTATCTGCTGCGTGGAGCCAAGCAAGGAACAGTGCGATGCCGACCGCAGCCGCGAGGGGCTTGTGTCCTGCTGGCTAGTGGGCACAGGGTTGCATGCTGCCCAACCCTGCCGCCGCCACGGCTCTGGCCTCCCCCAGCAGCTGGGCCCAGCGCCTGGGCGCCTCCCGCCTCACACCTGCTACCGCGTCCCCCAGCTGCCTCCGTGATCCCCAGATAACGCTGATAGCTCTGTTTTGATTTTTTGGTAAGGTCTATTTGCTTATGTGTAGAAGAACTGGGGTGCAGGCCAGAGGTGCAGAGGGTGAGAGGACTCACCAGAGACAGAGCGGGGAGCAGAACAGGCAGATGGACTGAAACGCACTGCTGAGGGGAGCAGTGGGGAGACAGGAGGGGTCTGCTGCGCCCTGGGGGGTCCCTCCCTGGCCAGGGATCAGATGTGGATTTGCACCTGTTCCCTGTCCCTGAACTCTGGGGTGTTTTCTTGCCCTGTGCTGCCGCTGGCTAAGCAGGAAGGGGGAGGGAAGTTTTGGAAAACGGGGGCTACAGAGGCCAGGGAGGAGGGTTTTGCACCCCACCACTTCGGCTCATTCCAACACCAGAAAAGGGAGCTTTTCTGAGTGAGACGGACCGAGGCTGGGGTGCAGATAGGACAGTGTTGGTCTGCACCACGCAGGGCCTCTGCGCTCAGCCGGACGGCGGGGACCTGCTCCTGGGGGCAGATGGCTCGGACACACGTGCTCACGCTGCCGCCGCTGAGCAGTGCCGAAGGGCAGGCAGCGGCGTGTCCAGCAGTGGTCCGCGCAGCGCTGGGCGTCCTGGCCTGAGCTGGCCCCGGCTCTTGCTGCCTGAGGCCGACTAAGTCGCTCAGCTTCTCTGAGATCTACTCCGTTTCTACCAGCAGCTGTAGAATGATCGGTGCAGTGGCAGGCGGGTGAAGGGGTTAATCCACCCCAGGTGAAGCGTCCGGAACAGGGCTCCCAAGGGTGCCGGCCACCCCACCCAGCTCTGCACCGCCGACGTGTGCTCTGTGGAGGTGACTTCCTGGGGCCTCCCCTGTCTGGGTGCGATGGACCCTCCCCTGCTGGTTTCCAGCCCAGACGTGTCACGGTGCATCGGCATACTGCGTTCGTCTTTGTGTAAAGACAGTGTAAGACAGTGCTGTTCCCAGCAACCCAGCAACAGCTGAAGATGCTGAGGCGCGGAGGGCCGGGCCTGGGGGTGGCCCCGGACCCAGAAGTGACAGAGCAGGCTTCCCCAGGTGCCAGTTCCAGCATGGTGCTCCTGGCCACCACGCTGGCCTCCCCTCCTGCACGGGCCTCCGGTACGGGCCGGCAGCGTGGTGGCCGGTCCAGGCTGCACACCCGGGCTCTCCTACAGCTCCCGGCCAATGCAGACGGTGGCCCCAAGTGACTGCCACGTGCCTACGTCCTCAGCTGGGCCACGGGCCCCCTCCGTGTGCCCTGCCCAGTCGCCACAGCAGCCGAATCACTCCCAGCTCTGCTTTCTCTGTGGTTCATCAACCGTTTTGTGGTTTTTCGTTCTCGGCAGGCTCCTCTCTGCTACCGTGTCCTTCATCTTTGATCACACCCCGAGATCACATTTGTCCCCAGAATGAAAGAACTGCCCTCTGTCCTCGTCCACCGGCCTCGCTCCCCCTCACCCCACTGGGCTCTCCTCCAGGGGGCGGGCTCACCACCCTTGCTACCAACCCCTCCTGGCTGCTTAATCACCTTGGGACAGAGTTAGAGCAGAAGTGGCGCTTCTTAGCCGTGTTCCAGGATGTCCTCCCGGCAGTGAGAAGGTCGGTTGAGGGTGCCACCATGGTGCGTGGACTGGCAAGCCTTTCGCGTGAGGTCCTCTCACTGGTGGCCGAGTCTACTCAGGTGTGACCAGACTGGGCTCTTCTTGCGTGGGCATCCCGGGTCGCAATGCCACTGGTAGTCTGTGGCTACAGCAGTGCGGGGTCCCCACGGGTTGTGGCTGCTCAGCCACCTTCAAGGTCCTCGGCGACTCCTTGTTCTTGGTGACCGTGAGGGGTTCGGTCACAGGCGCTAAGTGAGCGTGACATGGCATCACACTTCTTGCCGTCTCCCTAGACGCTGACGTCTGCCTGGCCGCTTTCATTCTTGGCTGGAGGCTGATGAATTTTGTGTCCGGGGATCTAATTCCCCCAGGCCCTGGACCTGTATGAGAGCTGAGCTCTGTGGCTTAAAGTACAGGGTGAAATCGTCTACTGAGAACTTGCTCATACATCTTTGAGCTTTGGGTTTTTAGCCATAATGTAGATCCCTGGCTTTCTGGTTCTTCAGAAGCAGGAGACAGCTGAGCCATTTGTCTGTGGCTTTTGATCCAATTCACGTGTGTAAAGGAAGTGCATAAGGGACAAATTCCTAAAAGGCAAAGGAGATCCGGAGAGATGTCACCGTCTCTGAGGGTCTGTGTATTTACAGACATTCAGCGGAATTGCTTTCTCTCTGGGAAGAAGCTGACACTCAACACTTATTTTCAGACAACTCTGTGTTTATGTTGAAGCGTATGTTCGATGGTTAGATCAAAATTCAGTCTTTCCCTATTCCCAGGTCCTATGTGGACTTTTCTCAAGTTATAATCCTTTGGTTACAACACACATACTAGAACCATATGGCTTTCTCTTACTATTCTTAGAATTTTTTTCAATGCATATTAATGATATGTTGGGGCAACAGAAATTGATTGGGAACAGTTTGAGTATGTGGTCCCGAAAAAGCAAAGGCCTCATTGCCATCAACGACAAGCTGTTAATACATTTCAAATGTGTTGCTAGACTGAAAATGATAATTTTCCAGAACATGTTTAGCAAACGCTGACCTTTCTCACGGCGCCGCGAATGGATGAATTCTCCAGCACATCCATTTCCATGTAGCTGATGTGGAAACGACGATTTACGAGTTGGACGATTTATAGAGAGTCCTACTTCTATGGTGGAAAGAATGCGGACAAAACTAATTTATTATTGATTTTTACATGACATCAATTCCCTGAACAGCCGCCAGTTAAAGTTAGTTCAGTCCTGTTATCACATCTATTGATGTTTATAGTGAGAGGCGATCTTTTTGGCGCTCAGCCCACGGGCGCTGGAGCTGGGGCCTGGGAGGAGCCAGCCGCCTCTTCTCCGCGTTTGATGCCTCTCAGACCTGCTCAGCACGAGAACTGCTGCTCCTCAGCATCACGCTGGCGCTCACAGGCTTTGCTCCCCCAGGGAGCCATATGTCATCTTAACGCTGTGTCACGCCGCGGCCAGAATGATGAGCCCCGATTGCGCTTCGAATTTAATAAACCATGAAGCCGGCTCGGTACCTCTGACGGTGCCGGTGTGCACGCCCAGGGGGTGAAGCCTCATTAACCAAGTCAGAGTCTCACTAGGAGCCCAAGAGGCGAGATCACGCCCCGCAGCGGTTTTTCTTTTGGAAACTACCGGACAGTGGGCGTCCGGCGCAGGGCTGCACACGCGTGGATTTCCGTGACCATCCATTTGCCCACGCACTGGAAATGGGTGATCTGGTTTGAAAGAGAGCCAACTTTTTTTTTTCCCCTAAACTTCCTCATTTTGAGAGGGTTAATTCTGTTCTAGGAAAGGTTTGGACAGATTCACGTTCCGAGTGCCAGCAAAATGTTATGTTAGAAATAACAGTGTTTACTTCCATTCTCTATTTGTTTTTCCATAAACTTTTTAGGAGTTCATTTCCTCCATCTGACTTGTATTATTTTACGTGACCTCGCCAGTATAAATGGCATGAAGTCATTCCTGCCACCACACCGTGGCACTCGCTGCCTCCCAGATAGGACACATCAGCCTTCCCACACAGGCCGACCCGAATGTTCTTCTGAGGGAGCCAGAGAGGGCTGGAGCCACCAGAACCTGCCCCATAGCAATTCCCTGCATTCCAGAAGAACCTGGGCTGACAGGCAGCCCCAGAGTCCCCACGGATCCTCCACTGAGGCCGGCTCGCCCGACACGGAGCTGGAATAGAGCCCCTTGTGCGAGTGACCACCCAGGGCATGCCCCGGGGAGAAGGGCCTCGAGCGGGCAGGGCAGGACCGAGCAGGCCTCACTCTGTCCCCGGGGCCTGGGGTGTGAATGGCATCTCAGGCCTGGCGTCTCCTTGAGCCCTGGGGCAGCCTCTGGGACCTCTGTGTCCGTCCCTCTACTGGGGAGCTGCTGGGGGTGCACGACGCAGGCCTGGAGCAGCCCAGGGCCTTCTCTGGAGAAGAGGGGGCCGTGCAGCGAGAGCCCCCACACCTAGCAGCCAAGGGATGGTGCCCAGCCGCGGGGAAGGGGATGAGGCAGCGGCCACAGCCCTGCTTCTCTGCGGTGGGAGCGCCCGGCCCTGGAACTGTCCTCTGCTGACCCGCCTGCTGCCCCCCTCAGCAGTGTGTTTCAGCTCCCCCCCTCCTGCCTGTTCTGCTCTCTGCTCTGTCTGGGTGAACGCTCTCACCTTCCCCCCGCCTCTGGCCTGCACCCCGGCTCCGTATGCATGAATAAATACATCGTTAAATGGTAACCAAGAGTAAGGACCGATCTCATGCTGTTGCCTTCCCCCGCCTCGCTAGGGAGCGGACAGATCCAGCTCTGGCAGTTCCTCCTGGAGCTCCTGTCGGACAGCTCCAACTCCAGCTGCATCACCTGGGAGGGCACCAACGGGGAGTTCAAGATGACGGACCCCGACGAGGTGGCGCGGCGCTGGGGAGAGCGCAAGAGCAAGCCCAACATGAACTATGACAAGCTGAGCCGCGCCCTGCGCTACTACTACGACAAGAACATCATGACCAAGGTCCACGGCAAGCGCTACGCCTACAAGTTCGACTTCCACGGCATCGCCCAGGCCCTGCAGCCCCACCCCCCCGAGTCGTCCCTGTACAAGTACCCCTCGGACCTGCCGTACGTGGGCTCCTACCACGCGCACCCGCAGAAGATGAACTTCGTGGCGCCGCACCCGCCCGCCCTGCCCGTGACCTCGTCCAGCTTCTTCGCCGCCCCGAACCCCTACTGGAATTCCCCCACCGGAGGCATCTACCCGAACACCAGGCTCCCCGCCGGCCACATGACGTCCCACCTGGGCTCCTACTACTAAAGGCCCGGAGAGACCTTTCCCAGCAACCCGCGACCACCAGACCGGCCACGAGCTTGTTGGAGACCACGGAGCCGACAAGTGCCTCAGGAGGGGAGCCGGAGCGAGACCGGGGGCTGGGGAGGAAGCCGGGGGTGGTTGGCGGGAGGGGATTACTAAAGCGTCACTATCACAGCCGAGGACGCCACAGACGTCCGGGACGTGGACACTGTTCAGTGGACGCTGGAGGGAGGTCGGGAGATGCCGAGCCCCAGGGACTAGTCCTCGGGTCTGGGCTCCGCTAGCTAACCCGGGACGCAACTAAAGCAATAGAGATACCACAGTCTGCACCAAACACACCGTAATGACGTCATTTGAAGGAAAACTACCTGTATTTAAAAGTAGAAACATATCAAGACGGAAACGCTGAGCACGCGGCGGTGGCCCCACAGCGGACGCTGGCGTGAACTCGCCGGCTCTCGGGGCCCGGGGGGACACCCAGTTCAGCCCATGGGCTGGAGAGCCGGCTGCTCTAACTGTGAAGACCACCCAAGGTGTCCAGGTCCTTTGCAGCGTTATGGCCTCGGAGCCGACAGGGACTGAGCATGTGACAGAGAGTGAGTGGGTGTAGGCCGAGGGCGGGGGGAGGTGAGCAGGGAGAGGGCGGGAGACAGCCTGGGAGGGCACCTCTCAAGCAGTCAAGACTGGGCCGGGCGGCGCTGGGCCGGTGGCGGGGTCGCAGTCGTGAGGCTGGGGTGGCCGGGTTAGGCCCACCCAGTGCTGAGGAAGGTCAAGGCCTGAGAGAGGGAGGGAGCCGGACGGTCGGAAGCCAAAGCAGGCATCTCTGGCGTGTGTGTCCAAAGAAATCTTTAACTGGAATTGTCTGATAACTAAAAGGCACGTTCAGGACCTCATCGTTACGGGGGGGCTGTGTTCTCCACAGCGGCAGGCAAGCGAGCCCCCACCCGGAACCACCTTGGCCCTGGGGTCAGGCGGGCTGCAGTTTTCCTTTGGAGTCGCGAACGCTGTGCGTTTGTCAGAACGAAGTATACAAGTCAGTGTTTTTTCCCCTTTTTATATAATAATTATATAACTTATGCATTTATACACTACGAGTTGATCTCGGCCAGCCAAAGATACACAACAAAAGAGACAATCAATGATACAATGTGGCCTTGAATTTTAACTCTGTATGCTTAATGTTTACAATATGAAGTTATTAGTTCTTAGAATGCAGAATGTATGTAATAAAGTAAGCTTGGCCTAGCATGGCACATCGGAGTGACACAGGCGTCTGCCTTGGACTTTCTGAGTGGCCCGGACACGCTTGTGCTGAACGCGGTGGGTGCAGTGTCAGCGGCCACCGCGCTTTCTTGGGAGAGGCGCCCCCTCACCGGGCAGCCACGGGCCTGGCGCTGGGGGTGCCTCTCTGGGCCCATCTGGCCCACGGCCTGTCATCCCAACCTTCTGGAGCCCAAGGGCCAGAGGTTCCTGGACTCATCCCCAGACTAGAAAGACACCCCTAGAACGGAAGCTGTCCTGTAGACATTCCCGATCAGGCCCCAGCCAGTCACCCCCGATTCCTGCTGCGATCCTAAAACGTGTTGAGCGGTGAACAAGCACCCATTTCATGCCACCTTCATGACGGTTGCTAAATGCCCCTGGATGGCCGCGTTTTCTCCCTTGCAGGGAGCCAGAGCCGCCTCTTGCTGTCTCGTGCGCCGTCCCTCAGGCCCGCCGGGCACTGGGACTCACCAGCCTGGACCCTGACCTCTCAGCTCTTGCTGTGCTTGTGTCTAGTCAAGTCCCCTTGTCCTCTTCTCCCTGGGTGCCCCCTGCTGTCAAGCTGGGCGCAGGGGAGGGAGCCGAGAGGCGGGACCCAGGGCCAGGCGGGAGGGAGCAGGCCCGAGGATGGTCTCAGGTCTGAACTGACCGGGGCAGAGCCGCTTGGCCGGCTTTGCACTCTGTAACCCTTTTGCTGATTAAACGAAGTTGCCAAACCTCGGGGCTGTGGCCATGCTGGCAGTGTCTTGAAGTGGGTGAGATCTGGCTACATCCATCACTTTGCAGCAGCTGGGGGAAGGCCTGCAGAGCGCCCGCTTCTCCTTAGGGAAAATAATACACAAATAAAAGCATGAAAGCTGGCGGCAGGCGCGCCCCGGGCTGTTCTCACGGAAAAAGCCGTCCTTCTCATCTTGCAAGGCATGTGACGTCCAGGCACACCTACATTCCGCTTAAAAGTCCACATTTACTCGAGTAATCACTCAGTGCCACTCTCCAAGATTGTATCACGAGCAGAATAACAAAACAAGACGTGATGAGCATGTTCGATTTTAACAGATGTTCTCAGTTAGCCAGGCCCCACCCCATCCAGATGATCAGTGGGCTTGACGGCGCGAGCACCGAGAGGCATTTGGACAACGCGCCAGGGCTGAGCCCTCCCGAACAAATGACTCGTAAGTTATGTCTTAAAGTCATGTGAACGCTCTGTTCCTGCATAATCGCTTGCACTGCACTCTCCAGTTCACTCATGATTACACGAGGAGCCTTTTCTCTGCTGCTCCTGCCAGTTGGGGCACCCAGTGGGCACACAGGTGGGCACGCGTGCGTGCCCACACCCACCCCATTTCCTCTCTCCCCCACAAGTAAAAGACACAGCCTCTTCGTGCATAAGCTTTGCTTCTGTATTTGCTAGAATCCCAGTGTCCCCAGATCTCAGCAAAGATGTCCCATTTTGCTCCCACTCTGACGCCTTGCTGCATCCCAGGGGCAACAGCAGTGCAGGGGCCTGGCAGGACCCAGGTAGCTGAGGGCTCTCTGCCCCTCCAGGCCTCTCCGGGCTGCCGCCACACCTGCCAGCTAGCAACGGCCTGGAACACATCCCTGGAGAACAGGTGCCAGAGGTGACCCATGCCGGGGAGCTGGGCAGGTGAGGAGGAGAACATTCTGTCTGCAGTTACCACCCCTCCTCAAGACCTTGCCACCTGCAGTAAGAGAACAACATCATTCAAAGACAAAAAGAAAGCCCACATAAGCCATCTCCAATAATAGAGATTAAAGTCACCTTAGTCTATTCATGCTATGAAAACTGCGGTACCTTCTCTTTATAAAAAGCTGCCTTGTTAAAAATGTCTTCATGTCAAATAGGGCAAGTGTTGGGTCTAGAAGTCAAAACTTTCTCGAAACTCGAACCTCTTTATTTATCCTGGGCTCAAAGTGAGGAGCCAGGCCACGGCAGTGTGTTAGACATGACACTTCACAGACTCTGCCCCTCATCCCTAGCTCAGGGACCCAGGGTCGTCAACCCCTTAAGCTTTTCCTACAGTCACATGAAAATCCAGCCGTCAGGGACGCTGAGCCTGGAGGCATCATCTGAACATCTGCCCCCCTTCCTGTGACCTGGACCCCGTTGCCCAGTCACGCTTGGTCACCAGCTCGAGGCCACTGGATGCACCGGCTCCATGGCCCGGGAGGGTAGGTGCTCGGTGGCTGTGGGTCTCTGTGCAAGGCCTCCCCGGGCTGAGATCAAGGAGGCAGCCAGAGCTACAAACCTCTCTGAGGCCAAGATCCTTTCCCAACTCTCTGGTTGTTGGCAGCATTCATTTCCTTCCTGGCTGATATCCAGGGACCATCCTCAACAATCAAGGCCACGTAAGGTCCTTGCCACGTGGCCTCTCCCCAAGGCAGCGGCTCTGCCAAGGCCAGTGGGAGAGTCTCTCTGGATTGCTCTGACATCCTTTAAGCACGCACCTGATTAGGCCAGGCCCACCCAGGACAATCTGCCTCAACT